CCTGTAAACTGGTACTTAGATCTAGGTTTTTTTTAAGATGAGCGGTAAGGGGATCTTAACCCTTGGTTTGGTGTTGTCAGCACCACGCTCTCTGAAGTGAGCTAACCAGCCATCCCTATATAGGGATCCAAACCCATGGCCTTGGTGTTATCAGCACCGCACTCTCCCAAGTGAGCCATGGGCCGGCCCTTAGCTAGACTTTCTTTTTTTTTTTTTTTGTCTTTTTCCGTGTCCGGCAACGGATCGCAACCCTCAGTGNCCCTCCGGTGGGAGCGCCGCCGCGCTTCCCAAGTGGCGCACTATCCAGTGCGCCACCGGGCCGGCCCGTTAGCTAGACTTTCTATAGAGAGAAACTTTCCATGGGCACTGGTGGACAGCATCGGACACTGTCAGACGGGGTGCTGGGGCACCTGAGCCCACAGACCACGGCCCTGGCCCTCGAGACCCCCTGGACTTCCCTGTCTGGCTGACCCCCAGGCCCTGTTCCCAACCCACCACTGGTCCCCCAAGTTCCCAGACCACCCCACCACCCTGACTTTGCCCCAAAACCCCAGCCAGCTGCTAGCCACCCCTGTCTGGACCCCTGGAAATTGGTCTCCTTCAGCCAGATGCTAAGCATCTCACCTCCCAGCAGGTCAGACACTCTGGAGAGCACTGGGCTGTCCAACATGCAGCCCATGCTGCTCAACATTGACACAGAGGGGCAGACACAGTGTCTGCCAGGACAACACAATGCCCCTCTGTGAGGCCCAAGGTACCCACTGAGGCCTGCCCACAGTGCTCACCTGGGCAGCCATGAGTGTAGCCCCCAGGCCTGAACCCAGCCCACCATGCCACAAGGCGGGGAGGCCCTGTGCAGGATACTCACTGTTTTACTGGGGAAGGAGGGAGAAAGGCACACTTAATTTATTCCTTTATACTCCAGGGTGTGGAGCCCTGTGCCCACCCTGCAGGGGTTTTGGGGGTAGGGTCAGCAGGGATAATCAGGGAAGGGCATCGTGGGAGATTTGGTACAAAATGCAGCATTAAAGGTAACCCCTGGGGCCGGCCTGTGGCTCACTCGGTAGAGTGCGGTGCTGATAACACCAAGTCCACGGGTTCGGTTCGGATCCCATATAGGGATGGCTGGTTCGCTCACTGGCTGAGCGTGGTGCTGACAACACCAGGTCGAGGGTTAAGATCCCCTTACCGGTCATCTTTTTTTTGTTTTTTGTCTTTTGTCTTT